CCCTGTATAATTGAAATTATTTTGAAATTGTTGCCTTTTTTGATAAATACCTAGCTTTTGTAGAAACAGATTTAGGGAAAAATCAAATATTTTTGGCCCTACAGATCGAGGCGTTACCGGTGGCCCACCCTGTATAATGACAATTTTATTATTAAAAGTGCCGTTCAACTGGAAAAATAATTACCCAACTCTCCAATTCAACCAACTTGTTATATTTCCTAGCAATGGTCTCACAGGTATCTTCTTTATAAAATTATTACTAGTAGATTGTGAGTAAAATCGTATACATACATTGGGGTAACTCATTCTAGCTCGCATCTGTAGCCTACCTCAGTACTTCACACCTCGCGAATCTACCTTGACACTCTGCTGTAATAGAATACTTCACTGGTCAATATGTAATATACTATTTTTTAAGACCGATCAGAAAATATACACTTTCTGAACAATTTTTCGTCCAGAAAATAACGTTTATTTACAACCATATATGTAATGTTGTCATTACTAACGTCATTGAAGGTTGGGAAGTGTCACATTACACACCTCTACTTCCCGCCCTCATTTCATCTATTCTAGATGAATATTTTTTATATTTAAAAAAAATAACACATTTTTTTGACAAATTTTATAATACCTATTTAATGGCAAACAATAAAAACAACAATGAACTAAAATACAACAAACTACTTATTGATATTTATTATTCGCGAATTTAATATCCGGCTTTATTTGACATTTATTTATATTGGTGACAGTTGTTTACCCCGTAATCACAGTAACAATATATTTACCTACTTGATTAATCTGAGAAAACAGTGCGCTTGGTAATTTGTCGTTAAATGTAATATTTTTGGTATGTTCAGAACGAAACAGAAATTTATTAACTTTGATCGAAATATGATGGTTGTAAATAAAATAGTATACAAACCTCGGTAGGAAGTTTCATTCGTCTCGAGATCATAGCTAACCTCGACGCTTCGCGTCTCGGTGATCTAACTAATCTCACGACAGGAATGAAACTCTTCCCACCTCGGTGTGTAATATACTATTTACCGATCAAGACGTTAGGGACCGGTAAAAGCTTTTTTTTAAGACCGACCAGAAAGTATACACTTTCTGAACAATTTTTCGTCCAGAAAGTAACGTTTTGCCGATCAAGACCGTTAGTGACCGGTAAAAGTATTACCGGTCCGTTGATTTTTAATTTGTTGTTTATGTCAAACTTGTTTTCGCAAATTTAAAAATATAGAATGAGATTTTAATTATCTGACATAGAAAATAAAATTCCAGAAGAAATTTTGGAAGCAGCAAAAATGTACATTTAAGGTAGTTCACTCGTAAAACGGCTTTTCTTAAGAATTCAATAAAATTAAAATATAAGGTTTATGAAAGTGTCGTTTACGTAACTAAAAAAATTAGATTTTTTGACCATCTGTGAAACGAGATATTAACAATCAAAATGTGCATAATTAACACTCTTGAAGCCTATCATGTACACAAGCAATGCATTTATTTCAAGATATCTCGAAAACGGTTCTTACCATATTTTTTAAAAACTAATGTTAAATAAATCAAGAAGTTATCAAATTTTATAGATAATCGCTGAATTTTTTGACTATCTTAGTAAAAAGATAGATTTTTAAAGCAGTTGACGAGTAGTTTCGTAAAATTATTACAACTTGGCAACATTGTAGCCACTTCACGTATCAAAGTAACACTCGATCAGCTAAGAGGTTGTTATAAACTCGCGACGTGTTCTTGAAAAATTAATTCGTCCACTGTGTTGGAGAACTGGAATCTGCGGTTCTGTTTGAACCAAAACAAACCCTTAAAATTAGTATGAGGAAGTCACAAATTTCTATACCATATCGTTTAAATATTTGCGAGTTTGCCGGATGAAATTGAATAAAATTATAACTTGTCCATATGTGTTTATATACATTTGTTTTGTACAGTCTCTTACAAAAATAAAATTTATTAGCATTGAGAATCTCGAACTTTTGGTATTCACCATTACGCGATATTTTTATGTACAACTGTCGCGAGTGAACTACCTTAACAAAAATATTCAAAAATAATGTATATGGTTAGTTTATGCAGTTGTATCCATTATCTAGTTTTAGTATTTGTTAATCACTTTATTAAATAAAATAAATAATTGAGTTTACATCGAAGTGTTTGTCTTAAAAAAGAAATTGTACGTCTTGCGACTGAAAATTAGTATTAAGCAGGTCTCTCCAAGCTTCCAGGTCTAGTCTACAGCTCGCCCTGGAATCTGCTTATCTCGACCTCCAAAACACTACTTTCCGGTGTTCTAACATAAATTACTATTACATCCACTACCAAAATCAATGAAATTATAGATATTTATCATATTTATTATTGTCATCAAAAAATATAAATTTTTACAATCAATTTAACTGTTAATCATTTATTTATGTAGTACTTACAGAAAATAATTTCTAAATAGTACAGTATATCTAACCTAACACAAACAACTGTAATGATAGTTAAAAAATATAAATATTAGAGAAAAAACACTACTACAACACCACGGGACGATACGTTCAGGAGTTGCAAGTCTCTTTTAGGGTTAAAATATTACAATTAAATATATCACAGTCCGAGTAAAATTTATTATAGTTCTTGCACAAGTGATCAATAAACGCTCTTTGTCCGTAATCGGTGTCTTTTTATGAGTCCATCGGATAGTATTAGCTTTAATAGGACTGTGGGCCATGTAGCCCACCCCACCTGGACCTTTTCAGATCTATTGTGGATATCCTATATCGTTGTTTAGAGTACCTTGTCAAATTCGGTCTTTTGTAGTAGATTCCTAGGCTAGGAAGTAGTTCTCAGGCATAGCTAGTTGTCCTTGGTTTTTCTTCCTTAAGTGTAATGAATATCAGTCATGCTAGACCTTCGGAGTAGCACAATACGTGCTCTGCAGTTTCCTCCTCTTCCTGACAGAATCGACACAAGGTCTCTTCTGCACATTTTAAAACTATTGGAGAAGATTGTGGCATTTAAGAAAAACTGCAGTTGGAGATAAAAAAAAAATAATGAAAAAGGCGGTCAAAATTGGTTCCGCAATTGCATAAATATGCAGCCTCTAATGAGCTTGTTAAAAAAAATTGTTTATAGTCCAATAGGAAAAAACCCAATTACAGGACAAACTATACATTTTGTTAATATTTGACTTAATTAGCCTAACTTAACCTAATAATAATTAATAATTATATAAATATAATTAACACTAACAAAAATAATTGTAATTTTATTATTTTATTTTTATTTTTTATTGAGTACCTACCATATTCTCATCTAACCTTTGTTATAATTTATATTTTAAATGAATGCATAAATTAAAATTCTTAGCCCACTTGCATAATAATAAATTGGCATAATAATAACAACAATAATACTAACAATAAATAATGATAATAACAGTGCTATGATCCATCTTGTCAAAGGCCTTCGAAGTCAGTATAGATGGTATCAGTTTGTTTTTGCAAATCAACAGCACGACTGACTTTTTGTGTAAAGCACATTAGATTTGTGGCGATTGATCTTTGACAAATAAAACTATGCTGATTCTCTGAAATTAAATTTTTTACTCTTGGCGAAATTCTATTGTACATTGCCATCTCGAAAGCCTTTGAAAAGTTGGATAATAAGGCAACAGGGCGGTAGTTAGTAGTGTCATTGATCTTACCAGTTTTAAAAATAGGAATGATTTTTGACAACTTCCAGACCTCAGGGAAGTTGTTTGTTTGTTGGGCCATGTTAAATATTTTGCAAAGAGGGATTGCAAGTATATTAGTGCAGTCTTTTACAAAGAAGCTAGGTATGTTATCATAACCACAAGTAAATTTTGCCTTGAGTTTATGCAACACAGTACTAATTTCGTCCTCTTCAAACTTCTTTATGGAAATATTAGGGTTTGATAAGGATTGACGAGTGATATTAGGAGGTTCATTTGAATTTGGTACAAAAACACTACTAATGGGGTGGGTGGCTCAGTGGTAGAGTCTCTGCCTGCGGATCCAAGGGTCCCAGGTTCGAATCCCACCATTGGCCGGGTTTTTTTCATTTAATTGTATTACTTAAAATTAATTCTGATGCCTTGGTAGGATTCCCCACTCGACCATTCACTGTTGGGTACTAATTAATAGTGCTGTTCCTAAAGTGGCGCTGGGAAACAGTAACAAAGCCTACACAGAACACGAGGCTAATAACCGTAGCAGTTGATGCCGATGACACAAAAAAACACTACTAAAAAAGTCAGCATACGTGTTAACTATACTATCAGGAGTTACGTATATGACTCCATTTAAGAACATGAGCCCTGGAATTTTTGAAGTACCTCTTTTTTTGTAAATATATTCCCAGAATTTCGAAGGATTTTCTCACAAGGCTTGATGTCTCTTTTCACAGAACACCTTTCGAAGCTCACTGCATGGTTTTCGAAATATTTTGCTGAAGACGATGTAGAAAAATTTAAGTTGATCCAAGATCCCTTCCATGCACAAGCTGAACCAGAATTCACTTATCAATAAGAAGAGAGTCTCAATGAACTATCTTGCACAATAGCCTTAAAATAAGATTTACGTGTTCTGATTTGGCCGAGTTTTGGATATAGTTCCCAAATGGATTTCCAACTATGAGTTCAAAAGCTCTAAGAATTCTCATTTTCAGCTGTAGCTGTAATAAAGAGCAAATATTGCTCAAAGATTAATGTGTAGTAAGAAGTGAGAGTAGCAGTGTCAAGCCTTATTCCACGCTTAGAAAAAATGTATGGAAATCACCAAGCTCACACGTCACATTGATTAGGTTGTCATTGTATTTTATTTTCTATTTTGAGAACCCCCAACATATACTACTATTTAATAAAAATATAAAACTGAATTATCGCAAATGACTAAGTGTATATCATATTAATATATTTCTTCTCATCAAATTTTTATTCTTTTGAAAACATAGGTAGGTTAAAGACTTACTTTGATTCAGGATTTTTTTTACCATTATCTTCTAAAAATTTGTTCACATCTATATGTGGTAAAAGCTAAAAAAAAGTAATAAAGAAATTGTTCTTTTTGTGAATCAGGTATTAAACAAACGCAAAACCTTACTTTTGAAGGTTGTAAGAACCGGGCAGGTATTCTGTTAATCTTCTCAGATTTCTTACTAGGCCCAAACCCAAGTTCCATGAGCACTTCTTCAGGATCAGGCCGTCTTAGTTCTAGAAACGATTCCACACTGGAGCACACACTAGTTCCGTCGTCACTCTGAAAGGAATAATCCCTGGACAGAGATTTGTTTTTATTTATTGAGGGATTTCTTTTGGGATTTGCTTGATGTGGAGGTAAGTTCTCAACCCAACATTCTAGTGGACTTTTCTGCATTTTCTATAACAAAATAAATGAAAAAGGTAATCGATATAATTCTATTCTATTATATTATCAAATTTCATAATGATACTAAATCAACAAGTTGCTGTAACTATTTTTAGCAGCTTGTGGTTGTGAGTTGTGACGTTCCCACGATTGTGATGACGTCTACTGGATAACAAACTATTAATTTAACTCACAATTTATTGCTTAGATCCTCTTCGCTACATAGTTTCATTTAATTTACAAAAATATGTGAAACAAATAAAATAACATTAAATTCTGACGATTCCTACTGTTTACCACATGCTCACATGAGATTGACGTTTCTCATTAGATATTTTTGTTTCTCGAAATTGGTAGCTTCTGAAATATGACAGTGACAGATGACGTCACAAACTTTCAGATTTCAATTTTCAAGATTTCAAGAGAAGAGAGAAAGCTTGTTACTACTTTAGTACCGGAGAAATATATGTCAAATTTGTGATAATTATTTAATTAAGAGTATTTAAAATTCAATGAATAAATATTGTTTGTATACTTTTATTCGGTTGAGAAACTCTCTGTTAATATCCTGTTGTTTTTCGGTTTTTCAAAACATTCAATTTGACAGATGTGTAAAGTTTCTTTGAGTTGGAACAAGTGGCCCGTTTAAAAAATCGTAGAAAATGTTTTATTAATAAGTGATATTGTGAAATAACTGTCGGAAGTGTACATTAGATTATTTAAATGTCGAAAAACTTTATTGTGTTGAGTTGTTACGATTTCAGAAAGAAACTAGAAGAAAAATAACCTATCAACATGTCCAGGAAAAAATGAACGATGACGACAGTTTGGTCAGTATTTTTTACAAGTTTTTAGCAATAGTAACCTTGAAGTGTAGATATTTTGCAAATATTTCCTGGTTATGCAGGTACTCTGTACAATAAACTTTCTAACACCAATTTAATTCATTTCATGTTCTTCAATTCATATATTACCGTGAGAACTTATTTCCCGTTTGTTTTGTAATTGAGGTGTCTTTCACACAATGAATTTAAAAAACGCTATTTTTCATTCCATCAAAATTTTGTAGTTCATTTTTTTATACCTTCAGTGTTGACACAAATTTGCACTTTAGGTATTTGTGTTGTCTAATGAGAAAATTATTTTTTTTCCAACCGTCACAAAAAATTGACATTTTTGTACTATTTTTAGGTGCAAAAGCTAACATTTCACTACTGTAAAAAAATGTGCTCCTTGCTAACCAACACTTTTATTGCTAGTTCTACTCTTAATCCTAGGATTAAAAGTAATTGCATTTGAGCTCTGTAAAATGCAAGTGTTTAATTTCCTCCCTGCCTCCTCTTAGGTGATAGGTATTCAAAGAAATTTATACTTACTGTAATAGGCCTTTTTCCGCTAGTAGTGATCATCTAGTTTAATAAGATTATTTTATTACCCACACTGTGAAATTTGTGAATGAAATAAAACTCCAAATATATTTAACTTAATTTATTTTTCATCAAATATATGGGGTAGGTATACAATTTTATTACTTTATTGGGAAATGAGAAATTAAATTATTTCTCATCAAGATCTGACATGTGTGATTGGGAATTTAAACACAATCTGAGACTGGCATATTAGGTACGTACACAAAAAAATCTGACATGTCCCACCCAAATAAACAAGCCGCAGGCCATTTTCCATCAAATAAATACAAGTTGAAGACTTCTTGAGGATATACATAGATATCCTCAAAATTGCACTGTCTTAAATACTTTTTTGTTTTGTTGTTTATTTTTATAAAGGGGGCCTACAGTCGTTGCAACAACAGATGTATATCCCTTATGTTTCAGCCTCACCTAGGGGTTTATGTAGTCTAGTCTTAATGAAATAGTGCCAGATCAGTACCAGCGAACTATCCCTTATGTTCAGAACTGCCTACAGTGCAAAGATTCAATCATAATGAATTAGTTAAGACAGTCCAACGATGTATGTAAAATGTGAATCTAGCCAACTGAACTGTCATTCACCCCAATCAGCTGAGGTGTTAATTTATTTTCTATTAGTGAGGGTGCTTGACATCTCGGTAAACCCGATTCTTAAATAATTTTTAGGTGGTATAATATAATGGCAAATGCATCCTGTGATATGTCCATCTGGTAATACCCAAAAGTGACATTATTAAATAATAAATTTCTATAATAATGAATAATATAATAATATACCTTTTTAAATTATTGACTCGCCATCTATTTCTGACATTTTTATATTGTTTGATATGGAAGGTGTTTTTGTATGGAAATATTGAGCAGGGGCGTCGGATCGTAGAAGCGTCAGGCAGTAGAAGCTTCGGGCAGTAGAAGCGTCGGACAGTAGAAGCGTCGGGCAGTAAAAGCGTCGGTACATAGAAGTGTCGGGACGTAAAAGAGTCGGGACATAGAAGCGCCTGGATGTATAAGCTTTGGAACGTGGAAGCGTTGAGCCGTAGAGACGTTGGGACGTAGAGGTGTCGGTACGTAGAGCACCGGAACGTAGAAGCGTCGTGTCGTGGAGCACCGGAACGTAGAAGCATCGGGTCGTGGAGCGCCGGGACGTAGAAGCGTCGGATCGGAGAGGTGTCGGATCGAAGAAGCATCAGTTACGGGAAGTACTGGATATTAAATTTGATTGACTTTTGAATGTAACTGAATTAGGCTGTATTTAAAAATCAACTAAATAATGAGTTCTCGGGGGTTCGGTATTAATACTAATTTTATCAAAGGCTATTATTTTTAACGATGTGGTGGATAATATCAGGGTTTTATTTTAATGACTATTCATAAAAGAGAAATAATTCCGTTTTAATGAATGTTACTTTGTGAAAAGAGTTACGTTGTATGAAGTTTTCGAGTTGAATTCCTATGGGATAATTTTTATCTTATCTGTTTATTGGGCTTGCACATGTAAAATTGGTTTTATTTATTAGGTATCTAGCGTAGATAAGAATTAATTATCTAGAAGATTTTTTCGTTAAAATAAAGGAATTTGAATTTAATAAATAATAAAGTAAATTGTGAAGCTACCTGGGAGAGGTAGGTCACGGCCCTTGAATTAAAATTTGAAGAAAAAAACATTGCCTCTTCCAAACATAGTAAAACAAACCAATTGGGCAGATATATCTTGCACTTTCCAATAATACTTAATTAAATATTAAATTAAAATTATTAGATGACGGATTTTAAATGTATCTATACTAGCCAATCAATGTTTACCAACAATCACCTTACCTACCTGCCATTGATGTTACAATATTTAAATTTATTACCAAATTATTAACAATTTTTGAATAACTAAATGTATTATTAATTTTGATTTGGTTGGAGAAAAATTAGTATAAATCATACGTGCTAAAAGTGCTTTTGTTACTCGCAATTTTGCATTCGCTCAGCTGGGTGGCATCCAACCTCGCAACTGCTTGTAAAAAATAATGCATTTTTATTCCTTATACTAATATTTTAAGAGTAACGTATACATATTAAAAAAAGCAGAGCATACAATAGGTAGTATATATTTAAATGCAAACTATTCCGGTAAAAAAATTATCAACGAATGGCACTTTTCTGACAAAATATAATACTCGAACGCCATCAAATTTAATGTTTTTCTATTATTTTAAAAATATCGTCAAATTTTATTTTTTATCTGCCTAAACATCTAAATGCATTTTTTTATTAAATTGCATGTTTGGACACATCGTTTTTTAGTTATTTAAAAGAATTTAAGGTGCAACCTATATATTACAATAATACTATTTTTTTCTTTGGTTATTGAAAATGTTCATTATGGTAGAGTTTGTATTTCATAAAAAACATGGCGTGATCTAGATTATAACTGACTGAAAGTTATAGAACAATTTAAATCTTTCAAGACAAAACAGCACTTTATTTACCAAGTACAATTCTATTATTACTCTTGCAGACGTCTGAAAACCAAAATGCTTTAATATGTTCAAATTCCTGGCCTTATTGCGAACAAATCAAATCCTAATCTCACAAATTTTGACTGATATCGTATCAAATACATCTTACTTATATTTTTAGAAAACAAACTTTACTTAATTGATGTTCCATTCGTTCATGCATCCCTTTGCTTCCCCCTAAGGGGTTCAAGCATGCTCCCCCAAACCGACTTGGGTTTCAGTCTGTCTTCCCTCCTCTGAGGTTCGGTTGCACTGGAGCCCCATGTGCTTGTTGCGACACCATTTGGATGCCTTACTCCTTCCCATTTTTCAGTTATTACTGTCATGAGATCGTCTGAAGCCGACTCTGTTCTTTGTTTACTGCCGTGCTCGCGATATGAAGTCTAGCACTGGCCATATCGAGATCCGCCTCGATACTCGAGAAACCGACTCGAATATTTTCTATCGCAGCCTGGCGCGTGGAGGATAATTTCCAGAAATTCTAGACTGAGCTTCTAGTCAGAGTGTGATCTTGTCGGTAGGCGGAAAGATTCAATATGTGTTGTATAGTAAAGATAAATTGTAATAAATAAATTAGAATTGTCAGTTATAATAGTGCCTAAGTGTTAAATAAATGTATTAATACGTTATAAATAAATTATAAATAAACGGTTTTTAATAAATAAATTATTTTTATACATGGACCCAGAGCTCTACGAGTTTGGCTACCCATTCAAACCATGACTGGTTTTACACAGCTGTACTGTGATCGTTGTTTTGAGTACCTACCTACCTACCTACCTTTCACATTTAACCAGCGACCCAGTCTTACTAGACTTTACATGCACATACAATTTAGCACACAAACGATCTGTTTGAGTTTTCGTATAGAAACTGCATCTATCAATTAGGTACTTATAGTTGAATTCGGAAATAATATTCCGTGTAGAATTTAAGAAATTTGTAAAGAATGCTGACTGAGTTGCCATATGCGATATCTGATATATACCAGCAACTGAAAAATTTCCTTTTGTCCCATAACCTCCAAAATCTCAACTGAATTTTGGTGCATTGATAGACGACAGCATTCTTTAAACATGCGTATTATTTCAAGTTTCAACTATTAAACCATAATTTTTGTACCTACTGGTTATTGGTAGGTGTAGTGACATATTAAAAATGTTTTCCCATATTTAAAGGAACAGTTTTTCTTAACTAATTATGTAATGTTTTAGACTATTAAGTAATACATCTTGTATAAATATTGCAATATTTATGAATTAATTATGTAACTATTTGCACATAAACCTTTAAATATTTAAATAGCTCGCATTTAAAAAAACTATTTGTGACAAAAAAAACAGGAAAACCTTTTCCTTATCGCTTTCCATTAAATAAGTATTGAGCAAATTATTA